ATGTATCTCCGCGTGGACCCAAAAAAACCTTCATGCCAAATTTGGTGAAGATCCATCAATAGGGGGATGAAGTAGTGGTAAAAAAACGCCCATAAAAACTGCAAAACACAAAATGTGAAATCACAAGTTTGCATGTATCTCCGCGTGGACCCAAAAAAACCTTCATGCCAAATTTGGTGAAGATCCATCAACAGGGGGATGAAGTAGTGGTAAAAAAACACCCACGAAAACCGCAAAATGCAAAAGTGTGTATTTGTATGTATCTCCCCATTGACCCAATGAACCTCCATACTAAATTTGGTGAGGGTCCATCTACAGGGGGCAAAATAGTGGTAAAAAACGACCATAATAATCGCAAAATGCATAATTGATATTTTGTATGTACCCCCGCATTAAGCTCCATACCAACGAAGTAGTTACATGGACATACAACAGACAGTACCATTACATTTATATAGATACATACAACAGACAGTACCATTATATTTATATAGATTTATAAGTAAAAATGCCCATTTGAGTGTGTAATTTTATCACCGTGCTCTCATTCTTTCTAGCCCTTGTTTCAACTGTAGACTGATTGTGATCATTTGAAATGTGTTCAATTTCGATGCAAACTTGGATGACGTCAGAGCGATGACGTATTTAATTGGATAAAAATTTGTCTTATTAAATTTTTCACTGACAGTCCTCGGTTCTTAAATTCAATTCAAGTCTTTAAAAAACAGTTTACAAGCCAGAAACTAAACTAACCTTGTAGCTTATCTTGGGGGGGGGGGTAAAGTTTTTCACCTGCGATCAAGTAATCTTTATTTCAATTCTGACAAAATACAGCTGTAACTACGTAAACGTTGTGGTAGGTTAAGAATTAAAATTTCACTTTGGAAACGTCTAGGAATGGAGAAAAAAAAAGTCTACCTATTAAAGATTGTTTGTTGTTTTTAAAAGAGTATTTGTTATAGCAAAGCCACATTGAGCTATCTGCTGTGTACACCGAGGGGAATCGAACCCCTGACCATGGGCGTCCTCAGAAATTATTCCAGAGAGGGGCAATATTTTTTCGGGGGGGGGGGGCAAAGTAGTATGAAATTGTGAATTGGATAAAAAATTCATATACATATGCTCAACGAATAAAGAAAGAATTATGTTTCACATTTTCCGAGGGGGCAGTGTCCCCCCCCTGCGGACGCCCAGGCCTCCCTGATTTTGGCGTTGTAAGTTCGTAGACTTACCGCTGTCCCACCGAGGGACATTATTTAAAAGAAAGGTGTAATGTTAGTTAAATTTCCAGTGTGTATATAAGTGGTAGAGTTTCGGCTTTCATGAGCCCGAAACGTCTCCCCTCACTAGGAATAATCAGTAGTCCATTAAAGCCAAAATTATAATTTGTATTCAGGTATTTTTAACCTTGTGCGGCACATGGGATAAATAGTCAAATCATAGGCCTTCTGAAAGGCAACCGGCAAGAAACACACCACTTACATACACGTTTACTCTTAACCGAGTATCGAGATCGACGCGACTGTCTCGATCATAAAGTTCCTTCGTCTGAGTGTGCGGCAGAGCATGCTTAGCAGCCTATAGCGGCTCCAGCCTTGGACCTTTCGAAAACTGCAGCCCGGCATACTTATAACAAGGCCATTCCCGACCTTTTTTGTCCAGAAACACATTTTTTTCTCACAAGTGATATTCTGGACAGACGATTTCACAGGTAATAAATACCTCATGACAGTTTAATTTACGATAACGATAACTTTTATAGACCGTGAAAAAACCACAATATTGGATACTTTAGTTATAAAATGTTCTCCTGAGGCCTACTGCTCTTAACGCAGAAAACAAGACAGTTCTGTAACATCCGTGACATTTATCCTTGTTCTCATGGGCTATAGTTGATGGCATTATCCACGCTTCAGCGACACTCAGCGACCATAGTGCACAATTACACGTTTGTTCTAAGTAGACATTTTTATTGTTTAATAATGTGTCTAGCACTGTGGTTCACATCCTGCAGTCCACTGACCCCTGAGCATTCTAAGTGGGAGAGGGGGGGGGATCTGATGCTCAGCTTTGAGTTTCCATTTTATAACTAAAACAAAAGAAGAATAAAAAGTACTGTGTTAAATCAAATGAAAATATTGTTTTATTTGAAAAATTCAATTACAACGCTAAAATCA